GTTTGCGTGGGTTTTTTGTGGGGGGGGGGGGGGGGCGGGGAAGAGATGTTTTATTTTATTAAATGCCTTGGGTTTGATGCATTTGTTCAATTTCATTTTGGTTACTACACCCTGCTTTAAGAAACTGTTCTCCCAGAATCTCAAGCAATGTTTATCTTCAAAACAAGAATCCTTATGCTCTCTCTCTGTAGGGAAAATGGAAAGAAAGAAAAGCTGCTTGTTTTAACCCCTTTACAGGATGGGGCCGTAAATGCCTAAATCCACTCAAAGTTATCTAGGCTTCCTTCCATTATGTCCCCACAAATACAGTTGCACTGGGGTTGAGACCCCCCATCCTGTCAAGATCCTACAGATATGATGTCCATATGAGGGCCCTTTTGGCTTCAGCCTGAGCCCACTGGTCTCATCAGTGACAAAATCTCTACTGGCCCAGCAGGGTCAGCATTGGGCCAGTGCTGGATGCTTCCGCACCTTTGTCCTTGCGCCTCTCCAGAGGTTTAAGGGTCTAAACTGCCCAGGAAAAGTCCCCTCTTTGGTCTCACCTTCCCCAGCCTCTGAAGCTCCTTCTACTCCCAGCCTGGTGCATCCACCCAGAGGTGGGCACAGCCAGGAAGAAGAGCTGCTGAGCAAAAGGGGTCATGCCTGTGCCAGGCACCCAAGGCCTCCTCACATTTGAAATTGGCCATGTCTCCTGGTCTGTGCCCCTTCTGCTGAGTCACTGCTGTGACACCAGCTCCAAACAGGAGCAGGAGTGTCAGCTGTAGTCCCATGCTGGCCTGGCATCATTTTCCACTGTTTGGGCATGTCTGAAGAGGTCCCAACCTAGCAGGTGTCCCAGAGGAAGGGACCTGAAGGGGCCCTGCAGTTGCAGGTGGAGCCGACTCCAGTTGCTCTTTCTCTGCCAGCACAGTGAGAAAGCAACCCAACAGGTCTTCAGTCCTGCTGGGATGGGGAATGACAGTGGAGACCAGGGGGAGAGGCAGGAGCTTCTTTGCAGGCCCCTGTCGCCCTCAGCATTAATGAGCTAACGGGAAATAGGCACTGTGCATGTGGGACATGGGTGGGTGTGTACACCTTGGGTCCTGCCTCTTGAAGGATGTGCTCTGGACACAAACTGGGCTTCCTCCCTAGGGGACGTAGGTCCACATGTATCACTCAGAGGTAACAATATGGTTAGCTCCCAGAAGCTCTATTTTAGTGCTTGGAAATACAGAGGTACCTTGAGCATCCAGGCAGGGAAAACATCATCTAAGAAGCAGATGGATTACTGTGTTATAGTTCAGGGGGTGGTGTAGTCAGCAATGAGAGAACATGTGCTGGACTCTCACCACAAGTGATGACCACTTTATGCTGCTTGGAAAACCTGAGTTTTCCCAAGCTCAGGTATGAGCCATCTGATAGAGAGCTGGTTGGCAGCTCACAGACCCATCCTGTCCTTTCAACCCCACTCCAACCCCTTTTCTTGCCTCGTGCTCACCAATTCACTGATGTTCTCCACCCATGAAGGCTGTGTGTGGTCAGTGCTCAGGCAGGGCAATATCTGTAGAGCGGATGGAAAACAGGAGAAAGGACTGCAAGGGTCTGGCAGGTAAGGAAGAGGACCTAATGAAAGGAAGAGGAGGAAGAAGGGACTGTAAGCCGAGTGATCCTCATTTAAAATGGACTATCTGAATGAAAATTTATTCAACCAAAATCATCTGTACTTCCTGAAACAGAGAGAATTTTATTTTCCTTTTTTCTTTCCCCCAGTTATCAATCTCATTAATAAGAATTGGATTGAGTCTATGTGTGGAATATTGATGTATTTTCTCAATTCCCATAGCATTGCCCAAAAGTACAGTAGCACACCCTCAGAAAACACAGGTAACAATTTATCCTCTAAATAAGGGCAGCACTAGCATCCTGTTGGTGAATTCCCCTCACTCTGCTGGATAAATATGGCCTATGGAAGGTCCAACCTGGGCTGCCACACCCCTCGTTTGCAAAAATTTCTTTTTTTTAATTCTTACAAAAAATTCTTTCTTTTAATTCTTACAAAATTGACAGGAGAGTTCTGTAGGGTTCAGAGTGGAGGTCTGTCCCTCCCAGTACCCCATTGTTTACTGTAGCCTTGGTTACTTGAGGACAGAGCAGAGAAAGCAGAGAAGAATAAGAACTCCTGACACATCCTCTCAGCCTCCAGCTGTCACTGGCAGGAACGAACACCCTTCACAGGGTAGCTGCCAAACACTGGTGCCGTTCTGTAAATCCAGAGCAGGTCCAGAATGACCTAGTCACAAAGTCCGATGAACAGGACAAACAGCCCCATTCTACTTGCTCAAAGCCCATCTGAGCAGATTTCAGGAGCTTTATGCCTGAGAACCAATTATTTGACCTCATTTTATTTGAGGATCTCAAGTACATGCTTCCTATTCTTTATCTTCTCAGCTAGCTCTGACAAAAGTCAGTACATGGTGAATAGTCAGTCCTCATCCACTCTCTCTAGGCCAATCTTGGGTTTGTAAACCTCTGTCACAAATTCTCAGTTATTTCTTTACCCAACTTTTTCATTTATTGCACAGAACTGGCTCCAGACCAGCCCCTCCTCAGAGCATGGCCAAGCATCCTTGAATCCAGGCTATCAGAAACACTTCACACTCAAGGCATCCTAAAAGCGTTGGGGGCAGTTTGATCCCAGGTGTTAAAGCAGGCAATGGAAGACAGTGTGCAGGTGTCAGCTATCCCTCCTCATACTTCTGTTTCAAAATCTCCAGCTCCCTTCTGTCTGCTGGCAAGAGATATCATCCCTAGTCACAACTCCCTCAGAGAAGGATTATTTTTTTTACTCTGCTTTCAGAGCAAATGTGGCACACTTAGGTTCCTGTCCATGCCTGGAGCCTGAAAGTGCTGCAGCAGTGAAAATTAATAGAACAAGAGAAGCAGGTACTACAGGGTGTAATAAATGGGGCAGAGTGTCTTCCTCTGCCATCAGCAGGGAGCAGGAACACACATGTGCTGGAGCCCCAAGCTGACATCCTCTGCGGAGAATCTCTGCTGGCAATGTCAGAGTGGGGAATCCCTTTTGCTGAGAAATAATCCTACATGTCTGGTAAAAAACTTCCTTCCTCTTCCTCCTCTATGACACAAAATAGGGTTGGAAGAACGCTCACTGACCACAGAAGCATTTCCAGTATGTATTTCACAAATTCAGAAATCCCCATTAAATAAGGATCTGATATTTCTCATTGTCCTTCTTTAGGGCAACTTTGGAAGAAAACCTCCAAATGGGGACCCTCCAGAAAACAAATTCAAGTGGTCCCTCCCTCACCTGGTTCAGGAAAAAATATTTCCTTGGAGAAAAGTGGAAAATAACCTGTTTATTTAACAGACATTGAATAATATTAAACAATAAAACCTCTCGATGTTCAAAGAGATGGCAAATCCAGAAAAGTCCTTTCCATGGGTGTAGCTCAGCTCGCTCAGTCTCTTATCAGTCCCTCTGGTGCTGGAAAGTGCCGAGGCCCAGGCCCTGGTGGGCCACAGGCGTGAGCTCCCGGGGTTTGTCTGGGTTTTCAGTCCAGAGCAGGTTTGAACAGATCTAAGAAAAAAGGAAAAAACCAGTCTGGGGAACTTCTCTGCCTCAGCGAACTAAAAACTAACTAAAAGCAAAGGAGAGCTCTGTCCCTCTGTCTGTCTGTGCTGCAGACAGCACAGTCCAGGAGCAGGATGGGGGACAGTGAGGGCTCTTTCTGAACACAAACTGCACTGCTTCTTCTTCCCCCACTTTGCTCTCAGAGCCAGTCTTAAAGGTGCAGAACTTAATATGTAACATAACAAGGTGATTGGGGATACAAACATCATATAGTCACCCCAGGACACTCATCAAAGCCACTAGTAAAAAACTTCCATGAATCAGGTGAGAGGACACTGAAAGTGAGACAAAACCAGGATTTTTTGTCTGATTCATATTCTGACCTGCTTGTTTCTTGATGAAACACCACCATATGCTTTAGTTTTTCTATGCCTCTGACACAGTAAAATCAGAGCCAGGTCAATTTCACAACATTATTTTTAACTTTGGATTGGGGATTGAAACACAACAGTTGTTCTTTTGGTTAGTAGTTTTATTAAAGAGAAGGAACTGAATAGAATGTGCCCAGAAGTCACAGAGGGTCATGGTTACCCATCTCCTGCTAGTTCAGAGTCCAGAGGCCCACAGGACACATGTTTCTTCAAGCCTACCATATTTCCCCACCTTTCAAAAGGTTTTTCACTACAGCAGGTGGCCAGAATAAGTCCAGGATTGCACAACATCTAGGGACACAATGTCCCCAGGCTGAAAGAGCTGGTTGTTCTACACTGACATCATGGGTTCTAACCAGCCCTGCAACTATGAGTGAAGTCTGGAGGCTGAGTCTCTTAAACCACCTTTCCACGTCAGTAAAATCCCAATCACACTTGTATAAGAGTGAGCATGGCTCTACTTGCCTTCTTTTAACCCAGAATACACTGTAAAAACAAAAGAGCAAGGAGAAAGCTTTCTCACTCCTTCCATCATTTTAGGACAGATGATAGACAGACATGTTTAGGACAGATGGGTTTGGTAGCACCAATGCCAGGTACCTCCTGGTTTGCCAAGGCCCCAGAGGTACCAGAGACAGGAGGCAGATCATGGATTATCTAAGTAAGAAATGGAAAATTCTGTAGGATTTGCCTGATCAATATAGACACAAAACAAACAGAATAAACTCCCAGTTCACAAACACATCTCAACCCCATCTGCAAAGCAGAAATTCTGGGAGAAAGCACTCCTGGGTCTCTTGCCCATCCATCCCTAAGTTTTAAATTTTTCCTGTGTGATACATGATACAGTACCAACCATTAGACTTTTTTTTCCATTAAGCATACACACGTTAAGTAGAAATTCCATCACTGCCGTTTATACTTGGTATTAAGTGGTTGCCCTTGGGTATTCCTATTACAAATTGTCTAATGATGTCCCTTCCTTTTTATTTCAGCAGAAAGTTGGATTTTCAGTTAAGTATATTTTAAAAATTTCCAGTTGAGGGGTTTGGGCTAGTGAGAAGCAGAGACTCATATCACTTGTACCTATTTTTCCAACAGCCTCACAGAGGTGACACCAAAGTGGCTATCACCAATAATTGGACTTAAGGGTTTCCATACGCCCACTTAAGAATCCCCAGAGTTTTTTCAGTCTCCTCAACTCAACCCATTTAAATTCAGATTTAACTGACATTGATTTAGGAGTTGGTTTTCCAGGGTTCTGAACACACACCATCAGTTGCAGCTGAAATTCTGAGTTAGCAGCCCTTCTCAATATCAGATCCTTCCTGTTTAAAAGAACAAAAAGCAGATTTGAAGTTTATTAAAGCCAGACCCATATGCTCAAAGGAAGCGTTATTAACTCCCTAAGTGATTCTGTAAGTTAATATGTCTTTATTAGTTGGCTCTTTTCAACTTAGCAAGTGTTGTGGAATAGGCCACTATAAATTACAGAAGCTTTATTTGAACTGGCTTCTAGTAAAACATAACACACCTACTGGAAGATTGTTGTATAAATGTCACCTCCTGATGAGCAGTCTGGACCAAACCAGATTTTTTTTCTACACTACTGCTAACATACACAAAGTCTTTAATTTGTTTCATGAAACTGGTCCCTGGATAATATTCAGAAGTGACAAAGATGGCAGTAATTCCTTTGTGTGCAGCATCTCAGCCATTTTACACTAGCTCTCAATTTGGTTCTACATTTGCGGGGGATAGAAAAAAAATATTGTATCACTAAATAATTAAATTTATTCTTGTCTCATGCCTGGGCAGACACTAAGTTTTTCTCTGCATGCACCAGTAAAAGGAAGAGATGCTTCTGGGGAAGAGGGACTGATCAAGGACTTTAATTTTTTTGAGGCCATGTAGAATTAGGCAGCAGAGGCCACATACAGGTGGATGTAATTACCCACCTTATTTCCAAAGGTACTACAGCTCTTCAGCCCTGGAGATTTACAATCTCCACTTCTACACATACTCCAGAGTCCCTCCCAGTATTGATCCAAATATAGTAAGGAAAATGATTAAGAAATATCCAGCGTTAGCAAGATTTTAGATTAGTCACCAGCTAGCTGTAAATGCAGCAGGAGTAGCCCTGATTGCATTAACTCACTTCTGGGAGCTCATCTGCCCTTTGGCTTTTTGCAGACTCTGAAACAGCTCTTGCCACATTACTGACTTGGTCTTTCACACTCATTCAGGGCATCTTTGTCAGAAATTTCATTATTTGTCTCGTATGGGGTTTTTTTCTGTAAGAAGAGGAGTTGTGCTGAGGAGGTGGGCCTCAGCACAACTGCATCTTCTGCACACTGATCATGTTAACTGTCAGAAGAAATTCCTAATCAGGTAACAAATCATTGGAGACTGATCTTTAAGGGAAATATTTAATGAAAAACAACTCAAGTTCCATTTTTCTTTAAAGGGTGGGAGTTTGCAGGGGGCCAGGCTTCTAAATATCACGTTATCCAGGAGAAACAATTGCTGCCAAGCATTGGCCCCCACACTTGGCTCTTTCTTGTAGCCTGATCACTGCAGGAGAAACATTAATAGCTAAG